AATCACGTTTCCAGCCCCAAATGTGCACCCAAAAAAAGTCGAACTAATTCGATTTAAACTCGAAACGCCATTTCTTAAAGCAACAGTCGCAGCAGGGTGGGCGTGGTCAGAGACGGCTGCAAACCTTTCGGCCGATTCTCACTTCGGAGCTGTCCAGCCCCTAGTCAAGAACGTAGGGAGTGTGACTGAACAAAAACTCACCATGAAAAGCCGCTAGAGAGGGAGCCTAAGTGGGCATGGTCAGAATCGGCCGAGGGGATTGCAGTCGTTTTCAACCACGCCCACCATGTTGGGACCGTTGCTTTAACAGAAACACATCAAATGCATACGGACGTGAAAGAATCGTATATATTATTCTTTTTGCACTGTTTGATGTCAAATTTGACGGCCAACAAATAAGCATGAGATAGAGTTTACCCAGACTAGTGAAGCGTGCCGGTAGTTGACATGGGCGCTCAATACGAAATCCTGGTCGCGATGAAAATCGAAGGAAAACGATAGAATATTTAGGACGCTGCCATTTTAATTTCTTCCCTATCTCCAGGAAGAGGGGAAGGGGTGAGGAATGGGATACATGATAAGGTTTAGAATACTTCACCTTATCACGTCTTTGATAAGGCCTGCAGCGGAAGCACTTGCTATAGTCTTTTTACAAACTTGGCCTTTTTCTGCCAGATATCTTTCTACGAACACCCATTTTATTGGGATTGCTGCCTTTTAGGTGCCCAGGATCAAGTTGATGAGGAAAAAGCGCTAGATGGTGAAAGAACTAGTGACAATTGGACATTCAGTTGAGAAAAGGTGGGAGAGAAACCATCGAGAACAGAAAATACGGAGATCTTTGTTCTGCGATGATGCAGGAATAAGCAGCAGATGGTGAGATGAGAGACAACGGGGACAGAGGGAAGTAGTGGTTTGTATGAGTCTAGGGAGCACATAAATCAGCGATACGTGCAGCAGGGACGATAGTAGTCCTCCCTTAATTCAGAGTGATTAGCTCTGATAAAATTCAAGGTTTGCTAACAGTCCATAGCGCTTCCAAACGCATCAACCCATGTTTGTCCCATAATTACATTAATATAAAAAACCCATTTTATGTGGAACATTAGAGAGGTAACTTTTATAGCTAACTCGTAATTGAGCAGAAAAAAGACCACGGGATTTAGGAGACGCAGATGCCACGCTTGATCCTCTAGAGGATCAATGTGGCCAGCGTGGTATCTGCACCTCCATAACCCCATGGTCTTTTTTCTCTGACCAGCTTAAATGGAAGTAGAATCCGTGCCGCAGCTCAACAACGGATTGATCAAAGGCAAAACCTTATACTTTATCTTTTTACTGGAGTTATTTACATATTCAATATTCAGGGTGGTCCCGGACGAGAATCGAACTTTCTTGCGGAACTGCTGAGCGCAATCAACCAACTCATTCCAAAGCCATCTCGGTGAACTTCTCATCACGAGCAACCTCTCGAACATATACTTATAAATCTTTCATCTATATACATATGTTCGTCCTGTATCTCTTCTGTTTATTTATGCTAATTAAAATAAATTTTTCGGGATGAAAAACAACATACATTTGCTTTACAGGGAGAGCCATACAAACGCCCTATTAGGCAGAAATACAAGAAGAAAATACAGTATCACACATAACCAAAATATAATTACGGTAATAAATAAAAGAACATGTCAGAAAATAAATCATACTCAGGTAAATGAAAAATAAAGTGCAAGTTCTACGATAACTGTAATAGTCTTGAAAGGCCGGACAGCATAGGTTTGCTTTGCTGCTTTCTTTGTCCGAATGTTTTCCTCAACTCGTCGCCAAACAGATTCCTCCTTTTCATTTTTTCGCCCATTCTTATCATTTCGTTGCCTCTTCTTATTGATACTCTCGAGTAATTTCTACAGTCATCTCAGGACGAGAATCGAACTTTCTTGCTGAACTGCTCAACATTCTCGACATTTTTTACATCTGTTCTTACCGACTGTACCCTTCCACTCATAATCCATTCGCAATTTCTCTAGGTCAATTTCCTCTTGGGTAGCTTTTGTAGATGAATGGCCCCGTAGTTTCACCAAGCCTGATAATACCAATAATATATATTTTCAGATTTCTCGAACATCATTTTCTGTTGTTGCCAAGCTAAATTAAGGCGCAATGGTGGAGAGAGTGAGAATTTGCCTGAATGTTCATGATCTTTGAATGAAGTTCTAGTCTAAGCCTAGTCTCCATTACATTGACGTTGATGTTCTAGGAACAAGAACACTGAGTTTGGTAGCAGAAAGATACGACACTCCTGCCGTCGGTACCTTTTGGGGAATTTCATAACCCCTTTTCGAGTATCTTGCTATCCCCTCTATGAACGTAGTTGTATAAAAGCATTAACATTACTATATCGTTTTTTGAATGCCTTGAAATCCGCGCGTCAATGGACTGCGCTTGCTGACCTGGAACACGCAAGGAGCTGTGAACGTGGACCGACCGAAATTCAAACGACTAATTCTTTGTGAAAATCCAGGTATTCCGGAAAGGTGAGGTATATTTGAAATCAACAAGGCTTCGATTTCCTGCAGCCGCTTACTAGGGAACGTCATTAGGCCGGTCCGGCCATTTGTGATGAGCTAAATACCCTTGCCGATGTACAAGTCAGGGCTTTTTCCTTCCAAACAAGTCTGGTACCAATAAACTGACCCCGGAGGTATGGAAGGGTGGCTTCCGTCATTGTGTAGGCCCACTCTTTAGACCGCCTCGAATTAAAATGACGTAGAATGCGTGCCGCACTTCGCCAAGATTAGTAGTGATCAACGGCAAAATCTTATACTTTATCTACTATACCCTTGCACTCGCCTCGAGACGCTGAGCTCAAAACTGTCTTCCGATCTGCTAAACGATTTTTTGAACGGAGTTATAAAGCAAGGAAGCGCAGCGTAGTGCCCTGTCTCGCAGGCAAGAGGTTGTGGGAACTGCTCGCAAACTCTTCATACAGGCAACTAATGGCAAGTGTTGATAAATTAACGAATTTAAAACCTTTTCTGCCACATCAGCACCGAAAAAAGAAAGAAGCAGGCTCCCCGTTCCCACCATCTCTTGCGTGCGAGACCGTTGAATGAGTGGGAAAAGTATGAGTATGCGCATTCAGAAATTCAAATGAGGGTTTGTAGAAATCCGTTCCTTAAAAATATTTGTCTTGTAAAAATTTCTTCTTTCTTCGAGAAGTCCATGGTTAACATTTTTGCAATAGTCTTCGTTCTGTTAACTCCAGAAACATCGAAATCCTCCTCAGACAGTTTTTTGTTACTGATGGCTTAAAATCTAACTGCACTGTGCTTTTTGATCGCCGATGCATTCCGAAGTCGATGTAGATTTCCCCTGCAAAATGTTTTTTTCTAATGGAGAGCGCCACGATTACGACCCTCTCCCACCTCGTGGAATAAATTCGACGCCCTCGTTGGTACTCGTTTCTATACACGGATGACCCTGCTTGTAGATTGGCCCAAGTAGCTCGCTGTATCTCTTGAATCCACATCCAAACCTCACTGCTTTCCTGAATTAAAGTACGAGGGTATGGTTAATTTCAAGATAAGATTTTCTCTGCTAAGCATTTCTGCACATTCTCAAAAACCAGCAGCAGTAAGCGAGCGAGCGCCGTGATAGCTGCAGGATCAATTCTCTTGCTACGGAAGGAAAGTAGATTACTAACTTTTATCCTTAAGACATCAATACAGATCAATGAATATAAACGTGGCATACATTACAAATACACAGAAAACGACACAAGGTTAATACTACGCACGAAGGCACAATAGAGAATGATCGGATGGAAAGCAGCTCTTGGTGTTGAGGGCGTCGCCCTTGGAAAGTGAGAAGCGGAGATCAGGAAGAGGTCGCGGTCCTCGGCCGCTGCTGCCAGACGTCTCCCCAGTGGGCGGTTTCGCTCGTCTCCGTCCTGGAAAAGATGGGTCAGCCAGAAGAAAACCTCAAAAATAGAGTGTAGGGCTAACCTCGGTGCTGGAACCATTCTCGAATATACCGATCTAGTTCTGCAAAGGCACAATTGCGCCGAGGGGTTTGCTCATTCCACCACTCGACTCCAGAACGGCATGGCGCTGAGCGACGCCGCGTGCCCGACGACAGCGCTTGAGGGCCACATTTATTCTTTTGTAGTCGTTCATGAAGTCGGCAGAGTCAGCTGAAAAGTCGGTATGTGTAGTCAAAAAAACGACTACCTCCTTTTCCCTGCCTCTTTTCCCTGCCCTGCACAGAGTCCACCGTCACCAGTTCCACTTCAAGTTGATCCAGGCGATCCTAGGCGCTCTATGAGATGCACCCAAGCGATGCCCTCGCTAACATTGTAGTGCGACTTACTTTCCGCTTTTACCGACGGGCCCTCCACGTCGAGTAGGAGGAAGGGCACGTCCGGCGAGGGGAATCGCGTTATGCGCAAAAGAAGCTGGCGCGATGCCGGGTCTGCACCATTGATGAGCGCCCCATTATAAGCCACTATGTTGGGCAGCGCGTTCAGCGCAGGGTGGGCTCTGAAGGTAGTGAATAAAGGGGCCTTTGGAACAGCCGGCGCCTTCGTCAGCACCGCCATTAGGCTGCTTTCATAGTTCGCATCGGTGCGGTCGGTGCCGACGGCGCCGACCGCACCGACAGTGTGAAGAGCGTCAATACGCGCTCTGGCGCATGACGCGTACGTTGGGCGCAGATGGCGCGCTCCGATCGATAATCTTGGGTTTGGTGTACTTCTTGTCTTCAGTCTTCCTTTTATAAGTGTGTTTTCTGTTGATACTTATTTTTTATGTCTTCATGAGTACTTTTCAGTTGTTCCGCGGACGAGCGACGTCGTATAACCCCGTGTGAAGTGGCTTCAAGACCCAGTGATTTCATCATGAGCAATTCTGTTTATTCGAGTGAACTGTATGTTTCCAGTAGTTGCTTTCTCTTCGATACAATTTCCTGCTGGTGTGCGAATAATTAAATTACCAAGATCCGGCGGCCTTTCGCACACCAGCAGGAAATCGTATCGAAGAAAAAGCAACTTCTAAATTTATAGAGTCCACTCGAATAAACAAAATTGCTTATGATGAACTCACCCAGTATAGCCACTCGGGGTAGTACGACGGGGTTCAACGAAGTCGTGGAACAGCTGAAAAGTATTAATCAAGACATTAAAGAAAAGTATGAACAGAAAACACACGAATGAATGCAACACGGCGCGAAAAAAACATCGAAAAGCACAAGAAATACACAAAAAACAACGGCGCGATCGTAGTCGCTAGAATACACAAAAAAGTTATTATCGAATCGGAGGAGCCCCATCATCTGCGCCCAGCGCACGCGTCATGCGCCAGAGCGCATATTGACGCTCTCACACTGTCGGTGCGGTCGGCGCCGTCGGCGCCGTCGGCACCGACCGCACCGATGCGAACTATGAAAGCAGCCTTACATTTGCGCGCTCAAAACGACGCTGGTTGGAAGACCCAGCACAGCGCGCGTGAGGCTCCAGCTAGGTCCCCTATGTAGCGCTGCTGCGCAGTAGGCACCCAGCTGGCGATAGCCGCTAACGACGGCTCGCTTCGTCTCCAATGACCGTGCCAAGTGAGCCAACGTATTGATGTAAGATGTCGTCCGCCGACATCGTGCTGTTAGGAGATTGATGCCGTTTGCAGCACGTATATCGTGGGGTACGATAATGTACTCCACATTTTCGTATGAACGCGCACGATGCGCTTGGCATATTTCTACTCGTATGTCTTCTCGGCATGTTGACGAGCGAGCTGGCTCAAAGGCTTCGTGCAGTTCGCACTTCCTCTTGAACTCCAAGCAGAAATCGCGTTCGTCACGAGTGAGCTGGGAGGCGTAGTCCTCGCCTAGGGACTTTAGATTGACATTCAAGTTGACAATGGTGGGGCACAAATTCTCTGGTGGCCGTGTCGGACAGATAACGCACGAACCTGAAGGTGCGCGAAATCCGTCAATGATAACAATGGTCTCTGTAAGTTGGATAACCGCCTCAGTTGTGGTGGCCGTAACGACCACCGTTGTTGTGTATTGGCCAGACCAAGGCTTTCTGCTGGTCTTCCCTGAGATGCACCGTGCCCCCCGAATTTGGAACGCTGGGGCGACGATGATAGGGTCCTGCCCCTCGGGAGGCGCTTGTTGAGCAGGTGCGGGGAGGCCATACACGGCGTCTGCGATCCTGCTGGCCGTGGAGGTGGGGGGCAGGTTGGCACAGATGTGCATGTTGGAGATGGCCTCGTAGATGCCATTGGCCGGGTGGTTCGCCTGCCGAGCCGCACATCCATCTCCACGAAGGTGACCAACCCAGAATGGCGACCTTGCTGGAAGACCGCGCCGCAGATGCTGAAGGGCTTCTGCGCTTCGTCCACGGTATCCGGAAAGCGCTGTATTTCTATGAAAGACAAGATGGTGGAGCAGA